CAGATGTCAATTCTGTACATAAAAGCCCCTGCAGATTCCACCAGAAAACCCAAACAATAAATACTTTCAGTAAAGTTTCAGGATAGAAAATCAACATAAAAAAACCAGTAATTTGTGTATCTACCAATAATGAATTTGATGAAAAAGAAATTAGGGAAAATATCACAAAAATATCCCCTAAAATAAAAGTACCTAGAGATAGATATATGGATATAGATACAGATATAGATATAGATATAGGTATAGATATAGAGATAGAGATAGATATGATAGAGATATAGATAGAGATAGAGATATACCTCAGCAAGGAAGTAAAAGGCTTTTACAATAAAAACTTAAAGACAATACCAGGGGACTAAAGATGACACAATGGATAAAGAATGTGCTTGTCATGCAATCATAAGGACCAGAATTTAGATCCCCAGAACCCATGTAAAAGGTGGGCGGGGTGGCAGCCTGGTTATCATTCCAGTATGTGGGAGATAGAGACAGAGTATCCCCAGAGCAATCTGCCTAGGCAGACTAGCCAAAATGGTTAAGCTCCAGGTTCAGTAAGAGACCCTGGCTCAATACCTAAGTTAGAAAACACTGGAGACACCTGACATCAACCTCAGTCCTCTACACACACTCATACAAATGCATGTGAAACCATACACATATGTATGCCCACATATGTGTGAACACACACAGAGGCATATGCATACAAACTCACACAGAGAGACATACCACAAACATTAAAATTAAAAATAAAAAGGCCAACCGTGGTGGTACACGCCTTTAATCCCAGCACTTGGGAGGCAGAGACATGTGGATCTCTGTGAGATCAAGGTCAGAGGGGTCTCCATATAGCGAGTTCCATGCCAGCTGGGCTACAGGGGGACCCTGTCTCAAAAAAAATAAAAATAAAAAACATCAGAAGATACCAGATGATTGGAGATGCTACAGGATTGGCAGAATTAATATTGTGAAAATGGTTACATTACCAAAAGTAATCTATATATTTGATGCCACCCCTATCAACATTACAAAGACAATCTACATAGAGCTAGAAGAAAAAAAATCTAAAAATTTATTCAGAATACTAAAGACCACACACAGCTAAAACAACAGTAATGATAAAGAACTCTATTGGAGGTAGCATATTACCTGGGCTTCAAATTATACTAGAGCTATAGGGACAAACATTTATTTTATTGGCACAAAATCAGATGTGTATACCAATGGAATAGAACAGAAAACCCAGAAATAAACCCACAAAAATAAACCCTAATTTTGACAAAGGCATCAAAAATATACAAATGAAAAAACCAGCCTATTCAAAAATGATGCTGGAAAAACTGGATATCCATCTTCAGAATAATGAAAACAGATCTATATCTCTCCCCCTGCAACAAAAATCCATTCAAAGTGGGTTAAAGGCCTTAATTTAAAATCTGAAACGCTGATATTTCTAGAGGAAAAATAGAGAATGAACTTTAAATTGTAGGTATAATTGAGAACTTTCTGAAAAGTATTCTAAGAACACAGGAATAAACCCAGAACCTGTACATGAAATTTCAAAATCTCTCCACAGCAAAGGAAACAAACATCAGAGAAAACAGATGGAACGGGAGAAAAATCTTTATCAGCTATACCTCAGACAAGTATACGCTATCTAGAAGATATTTGAATATGCAAAAAACCAAACTCCAATAAAAACAAAACTGCAAGTCAAAAAATGGGCTAACAAAATGAACAGTCCTTAAAAGAAGAAACATAAATGGTCAAACAAATATTTTTAAAATTTTCACTATCATAAGGCATTGGGCAAATGTAAATTCTAACCACTCTGAGATTCCATTTCACTCCAGTCAGAATGGCTATCATCAACAATACAAATGAAAGAAATGCTGGAGAAAATGTAGGAACAGGGATTCTGCTGGTGGAAGTATAAACTAGTATGGCCACTGCAGAAATCAGTTTGGAGGCATCTCAAAGTATTAAAAATAGAATTGTCATATGACCCAGCTATACCACTCCTGGGTATACACCCAAAGGATTTTATATCCTACTATAGAGATACCTGCACATCTATGTTTATTGCTGCATTATTCACAATAGCAAGGAGATGGAGCCAGGCTTAAGATTCATTAACAGATGAACAAATAATGAAAATATGGCATATATACACAATGGAATTTTACTCAGCTGTAAATAAAATAAAATTTGCAGAAAATTTTTTAACTGCAAAATATTACATTAAGCAAGGTATCTCACTGAGAAAGATAAAAAAATCACATTTTCTCCCTCAGACGCAGATCTCCTAACATTTAAATGTTTGCACATCTTTAAATAGGTGGGTTGTGAGAGTAGGTATAGGCTGGAAAACTAGAGAGGCAACTACAACTGGGATAATATGAGGTATTGGGGAAGGAGAGGGAGGGCAAAAGGACATATACGACATGAAAGCAGGAAGGTACAAGTTGGCGAAGAAGGATGGGGAGAAGAGGAGAGGAAGAGAAACAATATTTTTTTGGTTTGGAAAGTGCCATAATGAAACCTAATATGTGTATACTAATAAAAATTATTGAACTTCATAACAAAATACTATCCTCTAAATTATGGTACAGTCTTTTATAACACATTACGTTTTCACATTAAACATAGAATGACTGAATTTTAAAAACAAAAATAGAAAAGCGCCTCAAAGCGACATGAGTGGTATATCTCATTTTGATACACAACAACATGAAGAAGTAAGATAACAGCCAGATTCATGGTGTTAATAGAAATGAAAGGAAAGCTAAAAATATAATTTTATAGTTGACTTTATTTTTGTAACCTTGAAGAGCTATTTGTGCAATTTAAATTTTCTAGTAGGCACATTCAGAAAGTTTAAAAAAAATCTCAGAATGGTGATACATGCCTGTCATCTGAGCAATCAAGAGACTGAAGGAAGAGGATTATGAGTTCAAGACTAGCCTGGGCTATATACATTGCAAAATTCTGTCACAAAAATTAATTAAAAATAGTGAAAACAAACTGGAAAAATTAATTTTAATGTTTTAACCAAACATATTCAAAATACCATCATTGTGTAATTGCTACTAAAATATTTAAATATTTATGCTATCCCTTAAAATGCTGGTTTGAATTTTGCATTATCAATATATCTCAATTTAGATTTCAAGTTTTCCATGGCTAAATATTTTTTAAGTGAAAAAAAATGAATAAAGCATTTCTCCCTGGCCAAAGTGAAATGTAATCCTATCAAAACCATATAGTTGGTCATAACAGGAAAACTGATTTCATACTGTGACTTTTAAAGTTAAAACTTAAATGGCAATCAAGAATCTAATTACTCAACCATAATAGTACTTATTAGCCCTTTATGACTGGTCACTACCACACTGGCCAGTTGCAGATCTGGATCATGCATTCAATACAAGTTGAAGATGCCTCTTGTACTTTAAAAGAAAAATAAGATAAGAACTTTGTAGGTAGTTCTGAGAATGCCTAAGGGAACCAAGGATGTGGCTTTCTGCTGTCATATAGAATGTGAATAAACCACAATATTGGCAGCTTATGTGTAATTGTGATCTCAATTGTCATTTAACTAAATATACCACTTATACTTCATTCCTCAAAAGAGCTCTTCTTGACTTCTCTCCTTCTATTACTAAAAATATGATTATTACAAATCCCAGGTAACTTGGGTTATCATTTCATGTCTCTCTATGATAACATATATATCTACTTTACTATTAAATAATATTCCCTTCTCAAATGGTAGAGATATTTCAAAAATATCTCTAATACATGTCCGTCTCTTTGAGTCCCACCGACACCACCCCAGGTTTCATGCTTCATGTCACACCATGACTACTAATGAAAACTTTTCTATTTTCCTATCCCAGATTTTTGCATCTACACTGCACATGTCTATTAAATTAACCTTTCTAAAACATCATTTTCAGGATCTCATGCCTCTATTAAAACAATCACTGGCTCCCATCTGTGTTCATAACAAATTTCATATAATTCTGTTTTTTTTTATTTTTCCATTATTTTGAAAACAAATTAACTTTTACTGTTTATTTTCTAATTATATAGTACATTAATTTCCTATCTCCTATGAACTGTAATTTTCTTAACGGTCAAGGTAGTATATTACTCAGCTCAAAGAAGCCTTCTCTCTGTTATGCTGCATTTTGCAAAATGAAATGCCATAAATATTTGTTAATTTGAATGAATGTGGTGGAATCTCCAGATTACAAATTGTACCATCATCTGAACAGGAAAATAAGTAGATCACAGACAAATAAAGGCCATATTCTATCCTTGATTCATACTTACTGCTCCAGGATTTTTAAATTAATTATACTGATTGGCCAAAAAAATCCTACTCAGGTACATGTCTATAAGTACATATAGACACTCATATACGTACTTGTGTGTTTTAGTGCTACACACATTATTTTTTGTGGTACTGGGGATCAAATTCAGGACCTCATGATGGGTAGGCAAAGATTCTACCATTACCATTGAACTGCATCCTCAGATAAAGGCCAGTGTGTTTTGACTTCATGATTAATATGATCAATGATGCACTAAGAAACAAACTTCTTTTTAACCCATCTTGTTACTGATTTTTCAATTTGCAAAATAAACCAACAGTTTAAGAGAAAAAAGAGCAAAATGGATAAAATTAAAACTGTACCATTATTTAAAAGGAGCGGTGGCATTTTTATAGCACCAACAGAAATTAACCTTCTTACCTTGAAAACACAAAGCTGTTCTCCAACACTATGCTAGAAAAACATGTTGAAACAGAAATAATTTGAACAAATTAGTTCGGTGAAACTTTGTGAACCCATGGATAAAAAAACTTTGCTATCTTGAAGAAAAGTAGCATTTGTCCTTTGAAACTTCTAGGAATAATTAGGAAAAAATATACTTTATGGATTTTTTTATTTGGAAGAAATTGATTTAAAATTAAGAAATAAAGTCACAGCAGTAAATGATCTCCATGTTTAAAATTTATTTTCATGACTTATGTATTCATCTCACCTTTGACAGACTTATTTGCCAAACACAAAAAATTGTGGTGTATTTAAGATGTCTCAAATGAGTAACACTTTTGAAATATATTTTAGGAGTACAAATAGTTTAAACACAGATAGGAAAATCTGCCAAATAGGAACACAAAATAAAATTCCAAGCATTTCTCTGATTTATAAAAGTATTCGTATTTTTCATTTTTACTAAGTGAATACAATTTTTTAAATATGTGTGAGTATCTGTGGGTATATATGAATACCAACATACACACAACAGAGAAACAGTACATAGTGGCAAATTTTTAGTGCATTTCTGAAGTCTGTCATCCATAGACATCTACATGCAAATGCTACTGGACTAGTACACTAGAACAACTAAGGAAGTAGTAGCAGAACTCTCTGGAAAAAAACATTTTAAATGTAAATAATGAAACAGAAATCCACTTCTCATCTGAACAGCATAAAAAATATCCTTTATGCTTTGAGTCCTATATACAGACAGTATTATCTAACCTCAGAAAATAGCTTTTTACTGTACACAGACAAATGTAATATACATTCAGCAAATGCTAGCATTGGAAGAAAATGTGCCAAGAAGAGAGTGCTGGAAGGATAGCCAAAGGAAAGTTATTTATCCATTACAAAAAGAAAGAGGAGAGAGAGGAAGAGAGAGAGGAGGAAACAGGAACTGGAATGCACATGCAACGGAATGAAGCAGAAGCTAAAAGAAACCAATTAAATTGGAACAAGCCATCAGTTATGATGTGGGAATGAATCTTGAAAGCTGGGGACAGGAGAGATGAAAATACGTTTTCTTCCTTTTTTGTGAAACTATATATAGAACTGTCAACCAGAGCCAAACCCAGTTGTAATGTGGGTTAGCTAAATTATGTGAAACACACAGATACTATGTAAAAATTACTTCAAAGGATTGCTCTGAACAAATAAAAGACATAATTATGAAAACATTCCACAAACTAAAATTCCTACACTCTCTGTACAACAGAGTTTACACAATACTGAGATTCAATCTTTCCTTTCTTTCAACTCTGGAAAACTGTAAACATTGAGCTCTTCTGACAGCAGAGGTTGTATATGACCACCCTCTGCTCCATTACCAGATTTTGAAAGAATCAAAGGCTACACAGTAACAGAGAGAAGTCTGATGTTAGAAACAACAAAGATGCAGACAGACTGATCAAATGCAGAGGTACGCAGATAAACATGTGAGGAGTGTCTCCACTCCTTGTTTTTTAAACAATTTAGGGTAGAAAATTACTCAGGATAAGAAACAAAGAGACCTTTCCCTGTTTCACCCTAAACTTCACAAAACCTTATTGAATGAACATGGATAGGATTAAATTATCCCTATTTCTCCCTTATATCAGGAAGAATTAAAAATTAAAAAGGATCATATAGAGTAATTAAAATTTTTACTTTCATGTTGAAAACTGAATGAGAAAAAAATGTCTACGGAATGTTAGTCATGAGCAAATGCTAATCTAGTGACGCAAAGATGCCTATGATAACCTGCCCAGCACCACGGAGCAGAAATTGGACCCTGCTTCTCTTTCACATGGGTGTACTCCATGGCAATTCTACATGACGGCCTCCTTCCCATCATTAAAAGAGGTGAGAAAGATCAACAATGACATCATACACAATTTTCTTTGCTATTTCTCTTGTTAGTTTCAACATCATTTAAGAAAATATTCTGGCACTGAATAATATTTCTATTAAACTTTCTTAAGTGTCCTAAACAGCATTTCTTCCTCCCCTAATTGTTCATAATTCTACGGGAATAATTCAATACATCAGAAGCAAAGGCAATAACTAGTGCATTCATAAATAAAAGCTGTTAGTACCACCAAAAGAGAAGATTAGACATTATGAGTGAAAAAAAGAATGCAGGCTGATCAATGAAATACTCATGCAAAAATCATTTTTCAATCTGATCAAGTCACTTAATATAACTACTAAACTGAGAAAATAAAGTGACGACAAAGACATAATCGGCCACACGAGAAACATTTTTTTCAAAGAATAAAAAAAAACTCAAAAAAGGGGGTAACAGGGAGCATCCAGAATAAATATTTCAGAGTTAGTTTCTAAATATTAAGAAAAATTAAATCAAGTATCATTTATTACACAATATAAAGTTTAAAACATAAGTGGATTTTCACTGATAAATTATTAATTATGATAGTGAAATTAATTTTTAAAAGACCGACGTTATTTGAAGCTACACACTGAATACTTATGGTTATAAAATGATACCTGGTCTCTGTTCCAAAACAATATTCAAAAAAGGAAAACCATAAAAATTACTTAAATAAGATGGCTCACGGATTTTTAATTAACGAATATGGTGCAGAGTATATGAGTTCATTGATATAGAACTTAGATTTTATGTATATTCAAATTAAAAACATGTCATCACTGGGTGGGTCCCAAAAATTTGAAGGAAAAAAAGCATAACATCAAGAAATTTAAGAGCTGAAGAGATTAGAAGCTATCTATCTAAACCACCTCCTTTTGTAAGTAAAAAAAATTAAGGCTCAGATAGGTTAAGTGACTTGTTCAGGGTCACAGAACTTGTCAGTTCCAGACTCCAGATCAGAACCTAAATCTCTAGAGTCCACAGACATGTTCTTGTGTGAACCAGTAAGAAATAACCGCATGTAAGCATTCGGTCCAGAATATCCTCAAACTTCAGTGTACTAAAAGTGAGCCCCACAGGCAAGGGACAAATAGAGTTGGTTCATACCAAAAATGAGCTTCCAGTCACCGTGATAAGGTCTGATTCTTTCTGGGAACCACGGTTTCCAGCAGGACTGGAAAATCCAAACTGGGTTTCTTCCTCCTGTCCAAAGAAGTCAGGGTCAGGATGCACACTCCAGTCTGCTTTGGCTGGGGTCAGGAGTTCCAAGACACTGTTTTCACAGAGGGTGCTGGAGGGCGTCAGGGCTTCGGTGTCCACAGTTAGCTTACTGCTAGGAGTCAAAGCTTGGGGTTCTGGGCTTGAGTTTTTCAGAGCCAATGAGCCAAAGAGTCCCACATTTGCACTGGACAAGTCATCCATATCCAAGGGGCTCTGCTGATAGCAAGCAGCCGTAGCTCCAAAGAAGAGAGAGGTATCCAGACTCTGAGGGAGGTCACTGGTGGCCCTCAAGGCCCGAGGGTCCACAGCTTGCCCCAAGGAGTGACTATTCTCCGCAGGGAAATTCCCTGCCAGAGTCGAGTTCACAGAAGCCACGTCAATAGTCAGGATGCCAGAATTCACCAGCGCCGTGTCCAGCACCGCAGCAGAGCTCCCGCCAGGCACCTCGGAGAACAGAGACATTACCTCTGCACCACTGAGATCACTCTGTCTCTGGCTGGTGAGCTGGCTGCTGGGTGTCAGAGAATTCGCAGCTTCCAGCTGCACTAGGAGATCCTGGCTGAGGTTGTGCCTCTTGGCCATGTGGGTCTTCATGCTGTGCTTGGAGGTGAAGAGTTTATTGCAGGCAGAGACTGGGCAACGGCTTTTCCAGGTGTCCACATCCTGCAGGTGCTTCTTGGAGTGAATGTAGAGGCTACTCCGAGCCGAGAACCGGGCGCAGCAGCCTTCCACGGGACACACAAAAGGCTTTGTGCCCAGGTGGGTTATGCTGTGTCCTTTCAGATGCTCAGCCCTCGTGAAGGACTTCCCGCAGCCTTCCACAGGGCACGTGAACCTCCGGTCGTCCTCGTGCTTCCTTTTGTGCCTTAACAGTTTGGACATGCTGGTGAAGTTCCAGCCGCAGCCATCGAAGTCACAGAGGAAGGGTAAAGAGCAGGAGAAGAGTTCCTGTTCCCTGAAATGGGCGCGGTTATGGGAGAAGAGGGCACTCACTGTAATAAACGTCTTCTTGCAGCCCGAAAACGCGCACTGGTAGGGCCTCTCGGGTTCGAAGTGGCTGCGCTGGTGGGTGCTGAGCTTGGCCTGCGTGGGGAAGCTCTCCTCGCACACCTCGCATTTGAAGGAGTTCTCCTGCTCATGGCCCTTCATGTGCGCCTTGAGGTTGTACACAGTGGTGAAGCTCTTGCCACAGCCCTCCACCGGACAGCCAAATGGCCGCAGCTTGTCGTGCGACTGCAGGTGCCTCTTGAGCTTATAGGACGTGGTGAAGGTCCAGCCGCAGCCGCTCAGGGGGCACTTGAAGGGCCGCTGGCCCTGGCTGCTGCTGTGCGTCAGCAGGTGCACCTTCAGCAGGTGCTTCTTGGCAAAGGTCTGGCCGCACTGCGCCTCCGGGCACAGGTACAACACCAAGCCCGGGCCCGGAACCAGCGGCCCGCAGGGACTCTGGGCGGCAGCCCCGGCCTCGGCCTCCTCCTCAGGCGCTGGCGCGGGCTCCGCCGGCTCAGCCAGCAGGAGGTCGGGAGGCAGCTCCGGGCAGTCTCCCAGCTGCGCGGCGGGCGGAAACCCGGCTAGCGGGGCGGCTAAATCCCCGGCCTGCAGGACAGGCGCGACCCCAGGCTCCCAGGTGGGCAGCGGGGGCGTGGTCAGGGTAAGGACGCCATTCTCCAAGCGCAGGAGCAGGTCCTGGTTGTGGATTGTGACGGTGCCCGCGAAGGACGCCACGGGAGCCGGGGTCGGGCCCGGGAGTGGGGCCGTGGCCTCGGACACACAGCAGGGGCCCGGGGCAGGGCGGTCTGCGGGGTTCGCGCCTCGCTCACCACGCTCAGGGCCCAGCCCTACCTCGGCCTCCTCCCTCCACAGGGGCCCTCCGGCCTGATCTGTGCCCACCATTTCCACATCGCCACCCACCGGGTCGAGCAGCAAGAAGAAGAAGTCATCGCTGCCGTCGCCACCGCCGCCGCCCCCGCCGCCACTAGGGTGATCCGGTCTTGGCGCCAGCGGGCTCGGACTAGGGCTCGGGCCCGTGGCCGGGCCCTGTGAGGCCCTCTGGGCCTCCTCGCTCCGCAGCCCGGGCCCGCCATCTTGGGCCCCCCGGAGCAGTAGGAGGCGGCGCGTGGGGGCCTGACAAGCTACAGTGCCCGGGCCCCGGTGTACTCTACCACCTCCCGCCTGGCAACAGCCAACGCCGCCGGTGCCGCCGCCGCCACCGCCGCCGCCGCCGCCGCCCTGTGGTGTCCCGCGAGCCGGGAGCAGCCTGGGGATTTCCATCTCCCCGTAGCTGAGGCTCCGCTGGAACCAGAGCCAAGGCGGAGGCGCGACCCCGCCCCCTGCCGCGGGCCCAAACACGTTCCTGAAAGGAAAAAAAAAAGTGCAATGCGCAGAAACTGGCCCTATCAGATATTAAAACGTGTTTAACGCCACAGTGATTTAAATATTCTGGTATTGGGTCTCAGGAGCAGACTAGGAAGCCCAGAGGCA